GCAGCCAGCACCTTGATCCAAGACCCCGACGATTACCTTATCCAGGATCATCTGAGAAAGCTTCCTCTCCACCTGTTGCGTATCCAGGCCAACCATCTTCGCGATGTGGTCTAGCTCAACCCGGCTAAAGGGCTCAATGACCTTGATGAGATTCTGTTCCAGCATGGCGTCGTACAGTCTCCGGAGATGGTTACGGATGAAAACATCGCTTCCAAGTTCGTATCTGTAGTCTGAAAGAGCCTTCTCGTATTCTTCGAGAGAGCGATTGGCATGAGCACGAGCCACGGCCTTCATGGCCTCAAGTCGTGGGCTAGCGTACTTCTGCGCTTGCTTAGAACCCAGCAAATTGGTGACATCATCAACCAGGTTCAGCATGATTTTACACAACAGCATGTACTGAAGAGCAGCCGTTGCCAAGTCACTCTCATCAAGCGAGCTGTATCCCTCGAGCGCCTCAATGAAGTAGGAAAATGCCGTAGTGAAGTCTTTGTCCTCTGCATGTAGCATACCGCTTTGCATGTCCAGCCCAGCCTGAAGATGCGGAGGTGTGTAAACCGAAGCGGCCGATGTACGAGCAGCGGTCAAGGCGGCGCGTGCCTTGGCTTGGTTACCGAGCGCATGATACACCCTTGACTCTAACAGCTGCACCTCAACCAACATGAGTTTGTCATCCATGCGCTTCAGCTCACGCAGGAGAGAATTAATGAGGGTAAGGGCATCATAGTAAGATTGCTTCTGCATGTATATAGCCACCAGTCGGGTTTCGAGGTTCTGTCGGAGGAAGGACCGTCGTTCCGAGATGGCCCAGTCGATGCAGGACTTGATGACGGCGACTTGGATGTCGAGGGTATTCGGGATCTCACTGAACAGGTCAAGCAGTTGGCGGACTAGGACGACAGGTCAGCTACTCTGAGGAGTATTAACCCAGCTATCACCGTAGCCATCGACTTACCGAGCTTCGCAGTCTTTGCTTTGGCAAATGATGAGAAAGTATCACGACTGGTTTTGATGAGCTCTGCAATTTCCTGTGGCTTCTTCTCATCCCGATACAACTCCCCCAGTCCAATCAGAGCATTTTCATAGTCTCTCGACGAGCTCTCAGTCGAGCCTGGACCTTGCGAGAGGATGTCCTTGTAAATACTCTCAGCCTTGGAAGCATCTTTCTTCGCGAGAGCCCGAGCTTCGTCTATCCGCGCCGCTGTTGTCGACGAAGGCGCCATGATCGAACCGGTTGTGAGGGATGTAGTGGATGGATTATAGGTGGTAAACGGCTGAGAGAAATATTTCAGCAATAATGACAGCTTCAAAAGTCTAGAATAGCAACAAATCCGATGAGAACCTGATTGGGACGGGATTGAGGAGGTATTGGTATCTGTTATTGATGGGTGGTTCAGTTGCTATCGTCACACTTGGAGCTGGCCAGCAGCTTGGGCTGCTCTCACCGCCCGCGGCTTAACGAATCACCCGAAAAACAACCAGCAGAAAAAAAAGCATCAGGAAATTTCAATGGCCGCCCGCCAAACGCATCAACTACCACATTCTTCATTTTCATGATCTAATAGTCCACGGTTAAAGAGCATCATGGTAAGCAGCATGGTCGCAATATAATATGCTTTTATATGTCTCTAACAAATTTACACAGAAAATCAAAGCAATTTCTCGCTCCACGGCGTCCCAGCAGGCGCCGGGCTCTGCCGTCGTTCGACAGCCCCGAAATCTGGATCCAGCCCAGCATCCATTCGAACGAGCTCGTGAATACACCCGTGCATTAAATGCTGTCAAGCTAGAGAGACTGTTTGCCGCGCCATTTGTGGGCCAGATGGGCGAGGGTCATGTGGATGGTGTTTATACAATGGCCAAAGATCCGGGATCGTTACAACGGTTTGCGAGTGGCAGTGGTGACGGTGTTGTCAAGGTTTGGGATTTGACAACTCAAGGTGAAGTGTGGAACACTCAGGCACATGAAAATATTGTCAAGGGATTGTGCTGGACTCCCGAACGGAAATTGCTCTCGTGCGCAAGCGACAAGACCATCAAACTGTGGGACCCATACAACTCCTCACCTGAAGCACCACCATTGGGAACGTACCTAGGCCAAAGCGCTTTTACTGGGGTCTCGCATCACCGAAATCTGCCATACTTCGCTGCGTCGTCTTCTCAGATTTCTATCTACGATTTGTCGCGGCCGTCCTCGACACCATCTCAGGTCCTTCATTGGCCCACTAGCGTGGATACTATCACCTCGCTTGCCTTCAATCAGACAGAAACATCCATCATTGGATCAACAGCCATTGATCGATCCGTTATCATGTATGATCTTCGTACTTCATTGCCTGTTCACAAACTTGTCCTACGTTTGGCATCGAACGCCATTTCCTGGAACCCGATGGAGGCATTCAACTTTGCGGTGGCCAACGAAGATCATAATGCTTACATTTTCGACATGAGGAAAATGGATCGTGCTCTGAATGTGCTGAAGGATCACGTGGCTGCGGTCATGGATGTCGAGTTCAGCCCGACTGGCGAGGAACTCGTGACGGCTTCTTATGATAAAACGGTGCGCTTGTGGAGCCGAGCTCATGGGCATTCTCGCGACATTTACCATACCAAGAGAATGCAACGGTATGTATTTCGCAAGCATCTGTTTTATTTCGCTTCCATTGCTCATTTGTTTGTACAGGGTCTTCTCCGCCAAATTTACGCCCGACAACAAGTACATTCTTTCCGGGTCAGACGACGGCAACATTCGACTCTGGCGTGCGAACGCCTCCGACCGTAGCGGCATCAAGAGTGCCCGCCAGAGACAGAAGTTAGAATATGACCAGGCACTAATTACCAGGTACTCGCATATGCCTGAAATCCGAAGGATCAAGCGCCAGCGTCATGTGCCAAGAACCGTGAAGAAGGCGGCAGAGATCAAGAGAGAAGAACTCGCTGCTATTAAGAGACGTGAGGAGAATGTTCGCAAGCATGCTAAGAAGGGTGCTCTGCCACCGAGACGGAGCGAGCGTGAGAAGATGATCTTGACACACGAGCAATAAGCTCTGCAGGTCTGAGGACCACTCTCGATTGCCGAATCCTGAGAGTGGCAACTTCGTAACATTTGTCTTTGGAGGCAATTTGTTCGATGACAATTGACGATAACTTAAGGAATCTGTACGAGTTTCACGGCATATCACGCATCCTTCTTGTGGTCGTCGTCTTGCTCGTGGCATAGGGTCATCAATCGCCCTTCTTGACTTTCAGTTCATCTGGCGATATCTGACTCGACAACACACCGTGTTTTGACCGATCTGCTGCAGATGACCCTTGTAAAGCAGCACGGTCGATACCGCTCAGGTAACGGGCAATTCGCTGTATGCTGGCAGGCAGTACGGCATACCAGTCGATGAAAACGGCGAACGCCGGCAACCTGATTAGGCCACCCCGTCCTTCGTCTATTGCGGTAATGATTTTCTGAGCGACATGGACTGATTCGAGAACCGGCGCAAAGAACTTGTTTGGCGTCTTGATTGATTTGAACAGAGGCGTTGATATCTGCCCTGTCTCCACGAGCAGCATTTTCACAATCCCGTCATTTCTCGACACGCGAAACTCAGCTTCCAACGTCCGATGAAGGGCGCTAAGACCTGCCTTACTCGCAGAGTAGTCTGACAAGCCGGCGGCGGACAGGTGGCCCAGGACGGAGCTGATATTGACGATGGTACCTCCATTCTCAGCGGCTAACATTCCGGGAAGAAATACTTGGCAAGTGTGAAAGACTGCGAGTAGATTGGTTCGAATTGTTTTCTCGAATGCCTCTGCAGATAGAGTCAGGAATGGTTGACCGTTAATTCCTGCCGCCGCGCAGTTGATCAGCACAGTCGGTGTACCCAGCTAAGGAAGATTAGCATCATTCTATAAATGATCATACCATCATATCTTCTACAGGGCTGTAGTCTCGCGTAGCAATTGCATACCTCTTCCTTAATTCTCCTTGCCGTCTTCTCCACCGCTTCTCGATCAGTAATATCGCACTGATAGTAGTCCACTCCCGTCACTTCTTCCCAGCCCTCGATATCGCTCTCAGCCTTGATGTCCAAGACGGCCACACTAACTCCACGTAGTCCATATATCCGGGCAACCAGTAAGCCAAGGCCACTCGCACCACCAGTCACAACAACAACCTCTTCGCTTAAGTCAACAGGTCGGGGAAGCCCATGCGCCAGTCTCTGGTTCATCGCACGGGCAAGAGCCAAGATCGTGAGGAAGGCCGCATAGCCCGTCGCGATCGTGAACGAGATATGGGTGTAAGGGGTGGCCTGGGCTCGGAGGCTGATCACCCCGACCCAGGCGATGAATGGGTGGAAAAGTGTGCGATTGAGAACCGTCAGAAAAAGGTCGAAAGTGAGGTGTTCAAGCCATCCTTTATCAGGTGACTGCGAGATGGGCGAGGGTGATGCGGTGGACATTATGTGTGGTGGACCTAGGTCGGTTACCTTTTTGACATTATCATTGATTATATCTTCGACATCAGTATTACTTTTTGTGGGAATTGTAGCACGACCGGATTCAGCGTCAAACTTAAGCGCCGTGCTCCGTCATAGCAGGCAGCCGTCACGAAATGGCGGAATTGTTCCAGATGCGGTTGCTGATTCGGTCCACTATATGCAAAGGTTCAAGAGTCGTCATACACAGATAGCATTCATTGTTATATCAATGAACCGAACAAGTGCAGTATGAATGGTAAAGAATTGGGGGAAAATGATGACACACGGAGATGTGGGGTGATAGGCTATCACTTGGCTTCCTCCTATCTTAGACAGAATCATAACATATTCGTAACGATACCACAGGTATACTGATACGAATTTGTTCCTCTCTACTTAGTCTGAAATAGGTTTCTTCTAGAATAGGCCTCAATATTATACTCTAGCACTGAGCGTTGTCGTATTGTTCTATACGACCATCGCCGGTCTTCTTGTATATTTTTCTGATACCTACCCTCGAATTCCAGCATTATGCCCCCTTCCCTAACAAAACAAATCACACAGATCGAAGGTGTAAGGCTAGCAGGTGCCATTGATACAGAATGGGGTATTACCATCAAATATCCCGGAAAGTCAGCAAAAGGCACAATCATCGCAATCACCCCCCACCGCAGCTGCAACTCATCACCAGATGACAACTGCTCTCCCCTGGCGCTTCCAGCATTGACCCATCCTCACATTCACCTCGATAAGGCCTATGTCCACAGCACACGCGAATACGCACATCTTCTTCCAGCGGAAGGCTCCTTCCAGGAAGCGCTGTCCTTCACGACCCAGGCCAAGAAACAGTTCAACCAGGCCGATCTCATGAAAAGAGGCGAATGGCTTCTTGCAGAGTCGGTTTCTGCTGGCGTCACAGCAATGAGGGCGTTCGTGGAGGTTGATCACACGGTCAAACTGACGTGCCTTGAAGCTGGTCTCAAACTCAAAGACCAATGGAAAGAATGCTGCGACGTTCAGATTGTCTGCTTCGCTCAGGATCCCATCTTTTCCAGCGAGTATGGCCATGAAAATCGCGATTTGATCAAGAAGGCCCTCGAGCGCTATCCACAGATAGATGTCATCGGCACGACACCCTACGTTGAATCGAGTACGGACGCTGCGAGACGAAACATTGACTGGGCGATCGAAACCGCCCTCAAGCTGGACAAGCATGTCGACTTCCATCTAGACTACAGCCTAGATAGCAGCGAGGAAGCTCTAGTGTGGTATGTCCTGCAAGCACTTCAGCGCAATAACTGGACGAGCCAGTCAAGTATCAGACGGGTCATGTTGGGGCATTGCACCCGCCTGACTTCCTTCACTAATGAAGAATGGTCGGATTTGGCCAAAGAAATTCGTAACAATGACCTTCCCGTGAGTTTCGTCGGTCTACCAACCAGCGACATGTACATGGCCTCGCCGTATCCCGCAGCCAACGCTCCTCACAATCGGCCAAGAGGCACCCTGCATGTCCTTAAGATGATACGCGAGCATGGTCTGGGTGCTATTATCGGAGTCAATAATGTCGGAAACGCGTTCACACCCTGGGGCTCTGCAGACCCCCTGTCCCTTGCTTGTCTAGGTGTAGGAATCTACCAGGCCGGAACGCAAAAAGATGCAGAATTGTTGTACGAATGTGTATCCACGCGTGCGCGTGCTGCAATCGGATTACTGGGCAGCCGAGGCGGATCCGGTTTGATGCTCAAGGAAGGAGATCAACTTGATCTAGTCTTGCTCCACAATGTCGATGACACAGGATGCAACGTATTAAGGCCAAGAAAAAGTGTAGCAGATGTTGTGTGGGATCCGCCGGCAAGGGTGAGCAGGCATATCATCTCCAATGGCCGTCTGAAACTGCCACCGCATCCTATGTATCCGGGAACAGCACGCTATGCGTTTAAGAATAGCGACGCTTGACGTATTGAAGAAAGCGAGTAAGACGCTCGAGCCATTGTTTGCCTGACGACTGTAAATACAGATAGTGGCTGAATAACGCCCCTCATGAATGTTTCCAATCCAGTACATTATGTCTAAAGATAGCCTGCACAACTCCATGTCCGCTAGCGTTTCAAAAGTCACATCATGCGGCAAGATCCTGATGAGACATAAGTCAAAATAAGTAATATAGAAGAGCAAGGTCTCGGAATGAACCGAGTCAGTCAGTACTCTCACGCAGCCCCCCATACAGGTGTAGTTTCATTGGCCTCGGCGCGAGCTTTGGCTGGTCCATGCAATGCATAGCTGAAAGTGGGACAATCTGGGTCTTCACGCATGATGTCAATATCGTCGGCGTTGAGCGAGAGACGAAACCCGTTTCCAGCACGTGGGTACAGTCGATGCTCTTGAAACTCCTCGTATTCTGACTCTTCATCTGACTCGTACCGGTGTCTCTTCCGTGAAGAAGAAGCTGATGGCAATGGTTCCTCAGTATTCTCAGTACTCGGCTTCTCAGAAGTCGTGTCTTTCTCCGAGTGAGAGACCGGTGTTTCGGTTGTTGTAAGTGTCTGGCTGGAAGGTGCTGCCGAGACTGGGCCAGCTGATGTATTTGAGGTGAATAAGAATTTCGACGACTGCAGTTCCTTTAAGTTGCTTGGGAACATCGGCAAGGAGGGATTCCGGTCCGATATAGTGACAAGAAGCTCGACGAGACTTGCGTGGGAGAGGCTCGACAGATAACCCCGCCGCTCCTCCGCTGAAAAGCGCTCGCCTCCTACTTCGGTCTTGGGAGAAGGCACATGGTGTTGTGGTGGATGACGCAATGCTTGATGTAAATCAGGATTGCTCCTGACAACTGTTGGCTGGACGATGGAAATTTGCACAGGCTTGCATTCCCGGCAGTGCCATTCCTTCTCCACCACGTTCACAACATCATAGTCAATCGGAGGGTCATGACAGAGTTGATGCCATGCTCGATTACACCCGTCGCAGAATACAATAGCATTACTCTGCGGGCTATGACCTCTTTGGCAATGCATACAGTTGACATACGCCTCCTTCGTCTTGCGAAAAACGCGTTTGTGTCTTCGCGCACCTGTAGTCTCTGAGCCATAAGAGGAAGTGCCGTTCGCCTTGGTAACGGCTGGAGATGAAGCTGGAGGTACATATAATGACGGTCGGTTCACTTGTCTGCCGGACTTTGTTTGAGTGGCGGTAGGGGCGACGTCGGATTCATCCGAACTGGAGTCACCAGCCCTTATGATGTCTTCGCCGTCACTATCACCACCGCGTCTTCGTTTTCTCGATTTTCTGGACCCATTTGAAGCATTTTTGCGTGAGCGTTGTCCGGGGGTTGCTTTTTGTGGGTTGCCGCCTGGGACTTTTGCAGCCTTCGGGGCTAATGAGACCAGAGGAGCCTTAGGGATAAGACCTGTAGGTTGTGATGGCAATGGTTGTTGTATTTGAGACGGCGCCAATGTCGCCGATGGGCCAGCTGATACTGCTACACTTGGCTTGGGAGCAATAGCAACGGGCTTCTTTGGCCTCGAGGAGCTGTCCTCAGACGTTATAGGGGCTTGGTTGGAAACTGCTGTAGGTGCTAATGTATTGTTCGTATATGCGAACGGCGCCGTGGGCAGCTCTATGATTGTGGAAGAGGCCTTCATCGTGTTGGACCTTTGAAAATTCAAACTGTTCAAGCTTGGATCAAAGGTCGAAGTGCCCCAACGGGTAGTGAAGCTATCATTGTTCTGCTGGTCTCCTCTTATGTTACCAGCGATCCGTGCAAGGAGCTCTGTAGTGGCCGCCGAGAGTTTCGGTATTTGCACTTTCCCCCGAACCGTACCTGATGAACAGCTCGTTTTCGATGATAAATCGATCGAAGAAGGAGGAGTGCTATTTGCTGTGTTTCCTTCAACTGTCGAAACTGATGGATGGGGGCTCGAGGTGGTGCTCGGTGTTCCGTGGGTGGTCTCTAAAGTAGATGCCAGGGAAGAAGTAGCCCCATTTTGCCGTGACATTCCCCAAATCTGGACTGAATAAGCAATGTTGCACGGGGTATAAATGTGCTTGTCAATCTCTTCAACTTTGATTAATTGCTGTCACCGAGTAGCAAAGGATATGGCAGGTTGAACGGATCCAGAGATTTATATAGTCTCACGTGATTGTATGGATTCCTCCCCGCGCAGTTGAGGAATCCCAACACGCAACTTTGTTCTTAGGCCATCAACCTTGACGACAATCTATTGAAGACGTGCTGTTATACATTCATTCCATCTTTCCTATCGAATATGTCTAAAAGCTAAGTACGTTGATGGATTCTTACGGCCGCCGTCGTGCTTCGTCCGCAGTCACAAAGGGATTCGCTCCCTCAGGGATGTGATACCATACGATCTCCGATCCCCACAGCGTCAAACCAATATTGGGTCTGCCAGATTCCAATCACCTCTATGTTTGAGATGAAATATGTTACGACACAATGCCCTCTTTTTTGAGGAGCTCGATATTGGCTTTATCATAATTGAGGAGTTCTTCGAGGATTTCGTCGGTGTGTTGGCCAAGAGTCGGGGGCGGTCTTCGGACTCCAGGGGTTGCATGCGAATACTTGATCGGTGTGTTAACTAATTTGACGGGACCACAAGCTGGATGATCAACTTCTGTAACCATTCCTCGCGCTTGCACTACGCGGACGATTCCATGTCAGTGAATGGCTTCACCTGGTCGTTAGACGTTGGCGGACGACTTACCATGAGAATGATTGAGCGTCCCTTGGATGTCGTTGATCGCGGCATATGGCATCCCACTGCCTTCCAGGATCTCGAGCCATTCCTGCGTGGTTTTCTGCTTAACTCTCTTCTCAATCAGGCCATCAAGCTCTTCCCGATGCTTTACTCGGTCACGGTTGGTGATAAAGCGAGGATCCGTCTTCCATTCGGGGAACCCTAGTCGATCGCATAAGACGCCAAATAGCCTGTCATTTCCGCCCCCAAAAAGAATATCTCCATCAAGTGTCTGATAGCTTCGGTAGGGTACAATTGATGCTTGATCCTGTCAGCGATTGAGAGCTCACCGAGTGCCGGTAACACCATGTCCATGAACTTACGGTGTGCAGTTCCCCATCTACCGGAGTCCTTCTCACCACTGATCAGAGCTGAGCTCGCGATATTTGCCAAAGTCGCAACTTGACAATCACTCAAACAGGCGTCGATATGTTGTCCTTGTCCGGTCCTCATGCGCGCCAGCAAGGCAGCCATGATGGCATTGGAGGTATACAACCCCGTTGTCAAATCCGTAACAGCTACGCCGACCTTGACAGGATCGCCGTCTCTGCTTCCAGTGATGTGCATGAGTCCCATCTCTGCTTCGACCATGACATCGTACCCAGCTCGGTTGCTGTATGGACCTGTTTGGCCGTACCCTGTGATACTTGCATATACCAATCTGGGATTGATAGATCGTAGCGTTTCGTAATCGAGACCGTATTTCTTCAGGGTGCCCGGAAGGTAGTTCTCGACTAGGACGTCGCACTCCTTGGCCAGCTTGTGTAAAATCTCGACTCCGGACTTATGAGCAAAGGAAAGGCCGATGGATCTTTTGTTGCGGTTCACCTGGCGCACATGTAAGTTGGACGCTCATTATTGTTCCGAGATGTCACATACAGCCAGAAAATAGGCGCTCTCCCCAGGGCCATCATGAGACCCATCGATATACTTTGCGTATGGTGGACCCCAAGCACGAGTATCGTCACCGCGCACGGGATGCTCCACTTTGATAATATCTGCTCTGGCTCGAAGAAGACCGACGTTAGCAGTTGGTTGCCAGATACCATTAATGTGTTAGCATTCAACATACCCCAGATCTCCGAGAATTTGTGTACAGTATGGCTTCGGTGCGCGGTAAGAATCAGTATGGACTCTAGTGTCGACCGGAGGGAATATGTAGGGAACCCACTCCAGCCAATACTCTCGTCATGTCAAGCACTCGGATGCCTTTAAGAGGAAGAGTGTCATCGCTTGTAGGGATTGCTGAGAATCGTCGCCCTTGGGGTGTGCACTTGAGAATAATAGTTCTCGACGAGTAAAGCGATGGCCGACGAGCCACAGCCCGTTGCAACATGCATGCGGCATTCATCTTTCAAGGCTTAGCCAATGTGCATGTATAATAGTACTCAATGGCATATCAATTGCAAAGTATCACAATTACTTAGAGCCCTCCGTAAGGCAGGCGATGCAGATGTGACCTTGTCACTTGAAGGCCGAAGCCCGCTCTTTATGTTGATCCGGGGATTTCGCCGATGGCCGACGGCAGACCAAGCCGAGGTCAGCTAGTAAGCTGTTTCGGCATCTCCTGCCCTCACCTACCAGACCCATCTTATCACGGTAATCGGATCTCGAGCATTCCCTCTACTTAATAATATGTTCACGGGCCTTGTCGAGTACATTGGGAGTGAGTCATGTCCATATTCGAAATATTGTATCAGACACAAGACTAATTGGGTCTGTTGCAACTTCTAGCGGTTACGTCTCTGGAGCCCCTCGACACATCGTCAAGTGGGGGCGGGGGAACATCACTGACCATTTCCGATTGCGAGGAGATTCTCAAAGATGCCCACCTTGGCGACAGTATTAGTGTAAATGGTATGCACTTCACTTGCCCTTGATGCTTAACAACAGCAAGCGATAGCAGAGCTGTTGAGATATTCGTTGTCTTTCTGTCATTCGTCTCATAAGCAAGCGCATCAAAGAGCTTAAGCTTCCCTCGACAATGGAGACCTAATAAACTAATCTATCAAAAGGAACCTGCCTGACAGTAACCGCATTCGATAAGACCTGGTTCAAGGTCGGCGTCGCCCCCGAGACGCTTCGGCGGACAAACCTGGGATCATTGGAAAAGGGCTCCCGGGTAAATCTTGAGCGGGCCGTTCTGGCAGAGACGCGCATGGGCGGTCACTTCGTACAGGGTCATGTCGACACTGTCGCAAAAATTCTCTCCGTCACTCCGGATCAGAACTCCTTGGTATTCCGACTACAGCCTCGCGATCAGAGTGTAATGAGGTATATCGTGGAGAAGGGCTATGTCACACTGGATGGAGCCAGCTTGACGGTGACCAAGGTTGTGGATGGGCCAGACGGGTACTTTGAAATCATGCTTATTGCCTACACACAAGAGAAGATTGTGACGGCAGCTAAGAAGCCCGGGGATTACGTCAACGTAGAGATTGACATTGTGGGCAAATACGTTGAAAAGAGTGTCCAGGGTTACTTTGCTGGAACCGCTGGAGGAGACATGAGCATCTTGGAGAAGATGGTGTCTCGCATTGTAGACGAGAAGCTAAAGCGGTGATAAACAACAAACCAATGCCGCCTGACCATCTTGAATAATGGTATTCCACCTCAGTCCTAACCAGTATGACCGAATTCATAATGTCTTCCATGTATCGACCTGCGACTGTGAAGTCGATCACACCATGACAGGACTCTACCAAGGCCAGAGCTAGAAGATGATCAGCATGGGAAGTCAACGGAGTCAACCATGGTGCATGTCATACAAACTTCACGCACTTTTTGCATAAGATAGGTAGGTTTAAGTATGTCAAGCTCGTAGTCTATCTAAAGGGCTGAAGGAACGAAAGGTTCTATTGATTGAGATATCCAACGACATTTCATGCACCACATAAATGCTAGTTTAATCATCTTCTTATGCGCGGCACAGTGAGATTTCTCCGGCGGCATGAGCAGAAGGGTGATCACTGCATTTGAAATCCTATACATTCTTGTTGAGGACACTCGACATAGGGTATAAATTCGTCCTACCAAAGACACAACTCATATCAACCTCATAAAACACCATTTACTCCAGACTTTTTTGAGAGAAAAACGGCCTCTTCCGTAGCTACCATAGTTTGAAAAGTCGGAAATCACTCTCCCCGCCTCATTCTTCCATGGACTCATCTTCGTCGTCGTTATCCTGCGCTTGTCCCTCTTCGTCGTCTTCCAGGTCATCACTGAGCCAATCATCCTCGTCATCCATATCCACATCTTCTTCGTCCTCGTCATCTTCACCACCTTTTCCTTCAGCTCGAGCTTTGGCCTTCTCCTGTTTCTTCTTCTCAATGTTCTCTCTTTGCTGCTTCTTTCTCTCTTCCTTCTCCTTCTTCTTCTTGGCCCAATTCTTATCCAATGATTTGACCTCTGCTTCTGATTTTTTGATGTAGTCGTGCCACATTACTCTGCCCTCACAGATACCTTCTTCGACCTTGATTAGCCGAAGTTTCAGGCGTGGACCCAGTTCGACGAGCTTGACCGCGCGTTTTTCCACCTCTGGGGCATTGGCTTTCTGGGCCTTTGCTTTCTCGCCGGACTTCATGCGCTGCAGTTCTCTCTTTGTCAAGACCTTTTTTGTGGTGCTCTCTGCAATCTCGACCTCAGCATCGGTGTCCATTTCTGTCTCGCTTGCCGAGGTATAGCCGGCGGCTGATGGGTCCAGAAGATAGTCGGCGGCATCTTCCAACTTCCCCAGGTTTGGGACGGCAGACTTTCTCTTCTCCCGACTGCGAATTTCCTTGGGGTCCAAGCGTCGGATACGCTTCGAGATGCCTGTCTTTTTGGTGCTGATGGCATAATGTCTTAGATTCAAAACATAGGAATCTTCCTCTTCCTCTGATCCGGCGGTAAGTTCGCGATTCAGAAGCATCACACGGCGAATGGAGGAGAGCGGTGTAGCCTGAGGATTGATGGGTGGGAAAAGTGACTGAAAGATAGTGGTCGTAAGGCTCTCTAGACGTTTCGGTACTTTCGAATCCTCAGAAGCATTCGGTGAGTTAAAATTGTTCATCACTAGCAAAGGAGGTGTTTTGTGATCCTGGCCACCACCTCTTGGGCGCTTCAATGCCTTCTCAACGTCTCTGCACAGGGAATAGCTTTCGACTTTGAAATGAAGGGTCGGACCGCGAGGAGTAAGCGCCAATCGCATATTAGTATTTCCTGTAGCTGATTTTGAGAAAAGCATAAGATGAGTGACA